TTCGTGGGGATATGCGGCCGAGTGTCACTTGAATATACTTCAGGCCACAGAAAACAAACTTCTGCGGATGGCCATAGATGCGCCCTGGTTTGTTAGAAACGCCCAAATCTACAGCAACCTGGAGTGGGAGCCACTAAGAGAGTTTCTCATAAGGAAAGCGGCCGAAGACTTCGAGAAAGCTGGAAGGCACTCCAACGAAGAGTTACGAAATCTGGTAAATTACACGCCTGAAGATCTGGGACCCAGGAAAAAAAGGCCCAGACACCAACTAGCCCAATAGGGCAACAGGTAGCAAACGGCGTAAGCTGTAAGTGTGGTTATGTAGAGTTAGTAGTAATCACGGATCACAGCGGTACTCTGTAATCTGTGGTAGTAATTAGCATGCACATAGAAGTAAGGTGTAAATTAATAAGATGCCCATGCTAGCAAGCAGCTAGCATGGAGAGAATGCGATGCTATGGCATACGGATGCCGTAGCTGACAAATTCTTAGAGAGGACTACAAATTTTAAAGGATAACTCTCGAAAACTGGTAGTACAAAAAAGAGGGTTTTTTAGTTGGTAAGAATCCAACGCTACCCAGGGTTCGGAACACTGGGTGTCTTCGCGAATATTTTTATTCCTCCAGCCGCCGGGCAAACCAAAAAAAAATCATATATTTCTTATGATCGTCCAGTTGGTACCATTGGCATTTATCATAGATAAAGACAAGTTATATGGATAGAGCGAATTTTGAAGAAGTAGTTGTGTAAACAGTTATTTTGAACAGGAGTAAACAAATGGAGCGCCAGAGCTCGTCTTTATCTGCACCAGAGGATAACCGTATATTCAGCTAGACAGAAGACGCACACTTCTGCAATCATTCATCATAATATAATAGTATATTACATAATGAGAGTTGTTTTCATGTAAGCGCAATTCTATTAAGCGTTGATCACTTGACCTACCTGGAAACTGCCAGTAGCATATTATAGAACCTTAATGCTATCTGAAGTTGCAAATGAGCAGGAATCGGTAAACCTCTTCTACATGCACTTTCAATTCTACTTAAAGGTAAAGGTATTAATACATCGATAACGGTTTTTTTCCGAAACATATCTGAACAAATTCCTGCTCTCCGTATAACTGGAAAGAATCTTGCATATCTCATACGTATATCTCGTATGTATCTCATTTCAAACCCATTCGTGCATTTCTTAATCAACATATTGCATAAATTCTTCCGAATCGTCCATATTAATAATATATTTAACAAAACGTGGACATAA